CTCCCCCCCCTTGTATAATAGAATGAGATTGATTGTGCTCGATTGGTGTTTATACGCTGTGGGTGTTATCATAATCATGACATCAACATCTCCAAGTGTAGCCCTTCGCACTCCCCGATATGCGTAACAATATAGAGACTATTCAAAAGCAAGTTTGAGATAACGCAACTCATTTCAATATCATTTCATATGCGTTGTCGTCCTTAGCCCAAATTACCATTCGGCCGCTACACTCCCCAGAGTTCCTAAAATGTACGGTGGATGTTTGAAGAAACATGATAATCAGTACTGGGTATTTCCATTTCAACATCATTAGCATCAAAGATTATTCGACCGCCAAATTATTCTGACATTCGATGCATGGTGGTTGTTTACAGACATCACTTTAGCTCCGTACTCCACCGCGCGTATCAAGCGGACAGTCAGCTAACGCATTTCACGAAGCAATTATTTTTTACCGTCGGAAGCTAGCGTTCTACCGACTATCCACTTTCACCGTAGCTATGCGTGCGGGTAGCGTGGGGAGCTGAATTGGTTGAAGGCTAAAAGCGGTCGGAAGACGATTCTGATACATTCATGTACTCAGACCGAGTTCTCCTCCATAAATAGCGTCGAAGAGCGAAGAATTGGTAGTTCGTTAGAATGCACTTACATAGGCTACATGTATAAAGGAAGACAGATGAATCTGACACCACATTTTGCGGTGGGCCGTCCAGCGTAATATAGTGAAGGAATGATCCGCTCCTGTTCCTGGGAGCACGATATTATCTACGCAGTTCCCTATGCATAATAGTCTAGTCTTCACGGCAGGAATAAACCGTTGTCGGATGATTCGATTCTTAGACCTAGCAAGAGCTACACCAGCAGACATTGAAGAATGTTCTCAAAGGATGTGCTCTGGGTTCTGCACTGTTTCGAAGCAGCTAAATCTCCTCGACATATTTCGCAACCGTTTCATTATTCACCTGTATCACCTGTTGTCCCGTTTATCATTGAATTGCTCGAGCGGGCGTCAGCAACGTCTCCATTCGTCCCCGTCGCGTGGAA